ACTGAAAATTCTCGTCGACTTTCACCATTCTGACCCTATCTATCTCTATCGAATCATCCTGTCCGTCTCTGTCTCTCTCTCTCTCTCTCACTCACACCGATTTACTCCTTTCTTTATCTCTTTAGATCTGTCAGTCCGTTAGTTCATCCCTGTTCTCTCTTTCAGCGCTTTTTCCCATCTTCGTCTCTTTTAGATATTCGTTTCTCGTTGCCGAAGCGACCTAAGCGAGCTGAATTAACGCGACTAAATAAGACCCTGCAAATGATCCATCTTAAAGATCTTACTAATTGTCAGAATGGATGGGGATTGGCGTTATATTGATTGCGACAAGGAAAGATAGAGAATTAAGAGATGGTAAAGAGGTAAAAAGATCTAACGAAATTCTCATAAAAGAGAATAAGAAAAATCAGAAGAATTAATAAATATTTAAGTTTCATTTCTAAAAATAAATCGTGCTGTTAGGATCTCCTTAAATAAAAAAAGAAAAGAAAAAATTTTGAATTAAAAAAAAAGAAAAAAGAAAAAAATGGGAAAGTACTTTTCGTTTGTCCGAACTCGGTCAATTTGAGCGTAGCTTAAAAATACTCCGCAAAAAATCATGGAACACTCAGTGAAACGATTCGATACTAGCGATCGAGAAAGAGAGAGAGAGAGAGAGAGACAGAGACAGAGAGAGAGAGATGCCACTAGCGCCTACGAGTTTCAGTCGGCGTGATCGAAGATTCGATAATCGTACCGAGATCGTCCACGACTGCGATACGCCTCGCGGCGTCCAATTACTGATCGGTAATTGGGGCAGAATTTCTGCTGAGCTCAAATTTGCGCTCTCTCGCTTTTGTCCGTCCTCCTCCTCGCACTCCCACGCTCATTCTCGCTCTCGCTTCAGCCGCTGCGGTCAGTAGCCATTGCTTCCTTGTTAATTAAAGCGATTATACCTGCTTTCATAGCACGAGATCGTACTCTCTTATCTTGTGGATATTTCTTTCTTTTTATTTCTTTTGCTTCTCTTTTTTTCTTTTACTTCGTTGTAAGTGCCTAACCTATCGTGTGTTTTCCACTTAGCGATTTCATCTGCCTCGAAACGAATGGACTATATATCTCTCTTTCTTTTTTTTTTTTTTTTTTTTTTTTTTTATTATATCGAACTTCGGCCATTCTTAATTTTTCGAAACGTTAATAAATAGCTCTGCTTTGTTTTCTTGGCAGAGAGTAATACAGTAATTTTTGAAAATTATTTTTATGTGACTGCGATAAAGATTCCGCCATTATGAGCTAAACGAGCGATGGGAACGAGCGTTGTAATTATTTTCCAATTAATACATGAAAACGTGGGAAAGTTTGGAAAGCTTGAAAAATATGCAACGTCGTGCGAGTGCCTATGCGAGATAGCCGAAAATTACTCCCGAATCAGCCGTTTCGCGACCCTCGAATTTATACCCCTCGAAGCACGCGTAACGGAGCGTATACAGTACGCTTTGGGGTGATTTCAGCGCGTGGCATCCCATTCTCAGCATCTGGTTGGACGAACTTGCGAGATCCACCTTTCGCATTGTGGTGTATCCGTCAATTCACGGAAAGTTCGTCTTCTGAAATACGAAAATTGACAGACGAGACAGATAACTAAAAAAAGAAAATTTTATTTTCTTATTATAATCGACGTAACGTAGCTATTTCGATGCTTCAAAGATAACTGATTTGATTGCGATTATAATTTAACAACTACGACCGAACGGATGGGAAAAATCTAAAAGAAAAGAGAAATATTTCCTTTGATGCGAGGCAATAATGTATTAAAAGGGCCACAATAAAGTTCCTTCTCGTCTGTTTAGAGTGGATAATTAATGACAGTGAAAGGGAGAGAGAGAGAGAGACAGAGAGTCAGAGACAGAGACAGAGAGAGAGAGAGAGAGAGAGAGAGAGAGAAAGAGAGAGGAGAAAGAGTGAAAGAGAAAGGGCGAGAGACTGAAACAGGGAATGAAGGGTAAGAGGAAGAGTACTCGTCGAATCAAAGGAACGAATCGGATCGGCATGCTCGCGGATCGTTCGTAGAGCACGAATTTAATTTCCTCCGTCTATCCGGCGCACCGAGTACAGCCGAGGGAATCGGTAAGGGAACTAATTATTTCGTTGGCATTGGCTGGGGATGGTGAAAGATGAAATGAATGAATCAATGGAAAAAAGCTTCCACTCTGGCTGCACGGCCATCCCTCCTATTTTCTCTCCTTCTCTTTCTCTTTCCATTTCGTGCAATAAGCGAAAGTTATTTTCCTGCAGTGCGGGTCCGTGCTTTCGAAGCCAACGGAGTGGGGAAGGGAGGAAAAGAAAGAGAGAGAGAGAGAGAGAGAGAGAGAGAGAGAGAGAGAGAGAGAGAAAGAGAAAGAGAGGTAGCTCGCGATAAGCGGTTATCGGAGTGTAATTCAATTACGGGATCTTCACAGTGCCTGGAGCACCATTGTCTCGTTTTGCCAACCACCCTCTACCCGTTCGCACCCATGCCATCACCGAGGTAGATGCTGATTCGTTATCACCCTTCGTCCGCCGAGACACAATGGTGTTAAACAGAAGATAACCAAACTGATATTATAGTTATCAACCCGCTCCCGAGTTCCCCGTCGACAACTTTGTTAAGTCATGTGATTCTCTCTCTTTCTCTTTCTCTTTCTCTTTCTCTTTCTCTCTCTCTCTCTCTCTCTCTCTCAATTTCTTTTTCTTTCGATTTTCTTTATCTTTATTTCGACTTTTTCTCGCTGAAAGTTTGGAAAAAGTCATAAAATCCATGTCGACTACATTCGGCTACATGAAAGAAAGAAAATGCACGCTTATTCTTTCGGATGTTTTTGCATAGAGCGTCAATTAACGAAATAGATGGTAAAAAAGTAAATAGCAGAAGAAAATTTGCGCAAAGGGAAACTTCGTTGAGTATATACAACGGAGTATTTTAAAATGCGAAACAGGTTCGAGTGAGTACATGTTAGACGAGAGACGTAAATATTCGTTTACGTGAGTTGTCATCAGTGACGAAAATACAAGAGGGAAAAGTTTTGCTTTTTCATCGATATTATTTCTTTCTATCATGTAGAGATTTATCTTGTACAATATATATGCATGCATCATAGGTTTACCGAATGAAATAATTTTTTTTCCCTCCTCTTTCAACATTATTCTTCGTATTTCATTGTAACATTACATTGGTCATATAATAAACTCGTAGAATTATTTCTCTTTCATACTCATATTCGTGCTACAGTCTCCCCTCTACTTGTTAACGTTTTATAAGAATTAGAAAGAAGTTATCGTAGCGAAAAATCGTTTACATTTAACGACTGCTTTATCTTATTGAATTACGCATACGACGTTCGAGATAAAAAAAATAATAATTCATTTATGTGCCGCCATATAGGTAAACGTTTATTTCGTAATTAAAAATTATGCGAACCTTCTAATATCATTTTAAAATAAACATGAATTGTTATGAATTATTTCATGAATTTCGATATCTAGATATACGTATATATTATTTCTCACTTATATTTCTCATTCCTTGCAATATTTTAATCCCGTTGTCGAGAGAAATCCTCTATAGGTTTGCTTTCTCGATTGGTGTTTAATCAAAACGATAAAGGAATCGATAAGAATGCAGCTGCTTCGTTAGCGGGATTCAGAGAAAGAGAGAGAGAAAAAGGGAGGGGGGAGGAAAGGAGATATCTAAGAGAAAGGAAAGAAATAAAGGCAAGCGGAAGGAAAATTCGAAGCTCGGTGGCGCGAAACTCTTTAATGACTCTGCCTTCTGACTTCTCTAGTTTTTTTTCCTTTCTTTTTTTTTTTTTTTTTTTTTTTTTTTTTTCTTTCTTTCCTTTCCTTTTTCCGTGAGAGTACTGGCAAAGCGAGAGAAAGAAAAGGAAAAAAGTGATTGTAGACTAGCATAGAGAGTCCGGAAAAGATAATAGAAAGAAACACTTAACGCCAACCGATGTTGTATGCATAATCGTTGGTAGCTGTGTTTTAGAGAAAATTTATTTTTCGACTTACCATTCCACTCACGAAATGCCTTCATATTTTCATAAAAATAATAAATTATACGAAGAATCGAATTAACGAGAAATCGGTGACTTTCTAAGAAGATTGTCGATCAATATTACGTAACATTATATTTTACCAAAATAGATATTTTCTTTTGTATAATATAAAATACAGATAGTTCGAGTCGTCTAATTCTTCTAATGACTCGACGGTGACCTCTCTTCAGCGTTTCATTGTACATAACAACATTTCATAAACATTTTTTCGTCCGAAAAACGAACGAGCAAGCCTCTTACTTGTTATCGTTATATTTAGAATAAAGAAAGTTCGTACGATTGAAAATTAAATGTTAGTAACAGTAAGAAGTGAAAAAAGAAAAAAATATGTTTCTCTTACCAGTCGAATTGCTCGATGTTATTTTTATTCTCGTCTACGTGCATTGACATATTGTTCAATAATTTATAATCAAGGATCAATTTATGTTGCTGCAACATCACACCTTCTAATGAATTATCAGTCGTACTTATATATTATAAGCAACTGTATAGTTATCGTTGCTCACGCACTTTCAAGCTTTTTCCCTCGTGATCCTTTGTAAAAGCTCTCAACGATTTGCTGTAATAAATACATCAAATTTAGAATATTTTCGAAAACTTTCGACAAGTTTTCGTAGATAGCTATAACACTTTGTTATCAATGCTCGAATTAATTCTCCGTAAACCAGAAACGGCAAATTTCAAGGAACGTGTTCCGTGCCGGGGCAAGTTAAAAACTTCTCGGACGGTCCGTATAATAATATTAAATTCTAGCCGAGTTATCTTCGCGTTTTTGTACCTTATTCGTTGCAAGCACGCGTATTTAATGAATCAAATCACGGAATGCCGACAAAAAAGGAAGAGAAAGATGAAAAAGAGAAAGAGAGAGAGATGGAGTTAGAGATAGAAATAGAGAGAGAGTGAGAAAGAAAGAGAGTGGGGACTCTGTGTTAGTCGAATGCAGAGGAAGCGGTAACGTATTTCAACGAACCTCGTGGTTTTCTGGAATATTCCAACGAACGTTTATCCAAGTAAACACAGTCTCTCTCTCCCTCCCCCCCTCTTTCTCTCTCTTTCTCTCTCTCTCTCTTTCTCTCTCTCTCTCTCACATTTTTTCTGTTAAAGTTCATACACAGCTTACCCAAAAAATGAAGTAGATGATACATCGACGAGCACAATTGGAGGAAGTGAAAGAGTACCGAACTCGGTAAAGAGAAAATTCGAAAAGCGAGTTTAACAAAAGAAAAATGCAACTACGAGAAGCCGCAAGCACGATAATTGACCGGAACGAAAGTTTATCTCGATGCGAATGGAGCACCGAGGTAACGAACAAAGGAGCGAATGAAAGCTTGACGAATCGTTCGAACGTGTGAGAAGAACTGAAGAAGTCTTGCTATCTCTGGCAAAGTGGTAGGGGAAATTTTAAGACCTTTTGTCCTGATCCTAATAATTGTAAACAAAGTACGGTTTATACGTGTATGTATATATGTATGTATGTATATCTACATATTTACGACAACGTCCTTCGCTGTAATTTTCTTTTCTCGCTTAATCCATGTGACAATGCCTGTAAATATGTGTAAGAGACGAGATTGTTTTGTTTTCTTAGGCGTACGAAGATAAATTTCTCTTTTATTTCTTACACGGTATCCCGTGAAGAGAATATTATCCATTCGAAAAGATAGAAACTCGACGATAAATTTATAGATGGAATATTACTGCTGACTTTAGCCGATCGAACGTTTACATATGTACATACACACACACACACTATATATACATATAATATATATATATATATATATATATATATAGAAAGAGAGAGAGAGAGAAAGAGATATATTGTATGTATCTTTGTATCTATGTAGGTATCTATACATATAGTACATTATAAATTAATCGAAGTTTTCCCGTGTAATGTATGCTCAGTTAAAAAACGTTTTAAATTGTTCCCCCGCCATTCGGGAGAACGGGAGAATTGCAATTTCGATTACGTAACTCGTCGGAATAATCTGAATGTGATAAAAATCAAATTTTTATGCGACTGGCATTTACGACTGCAGGATCATTTTGAAATTTCATTTTCCTTTCGCATATCGTAAACACATTGTGCATTATATCGTTGAGCGTGTTCGTAGGATAGATACAACATAGAATTTCGTTTGCAAATATTAACGAGCCTTTGCCTACTAATGGACGGACACTCATTGCACTTGACTGGGATGAGTTTTTGAACGTTGCTGTGCGTCTACACAAAAATACACAGTTAATCGTGAAAAGTTTAAATCGCTAAATTATCGATTTCTGTCGATATATATAATTTTTTTTTTTCATATCGTTCATTAACCAAATAGTTAAACGATCAGCAGGTATATATATATATATATCTACGATAATTCCACCAATGTCTATGACGTTGTATCTATATTGCATAAAACTTAATTAACAATTTTATCTGATCAGATGAGCTATGTAAAATGTGTGCAAATCGAAAAATAACAAGGTACAAAGTCATAGTTCGAAAATATTGTCCTTAAAGATGCTTCTTCTCTCTTTCTCTTTTCCCTTCTCTTTTTTCGCTTGTTTTCGTATTTCTCGTTTGCTCGCAGAGTCGAGAGGCGAATTTTGATTTTGTCTTTTACATCGACGAGACAGAGAGAGAAAGAGAGAGAGAGAGAGAGAGAGAGAGAGAGAGAGAGAAAAAGAGAAAGAGAATGAGAGAGAGAGAGAGGAAGTGAAGGAGACAGAGTAGAAAGAGGAGAGTAGATCCTCGTTGGCGGAGTTTAATTACTTTGATGAGAGAATAAGTGTAGGCAAAAAATGTACGAGTTCTTCCCCCTTTCTCTCTACCTCTTTCACCCTCTTCGACCTTTCCGCTCGGCGTATCAACGAATGCCTCTATCTTTCTCTTCTTCTACCTCTCGCGATATGGAAGTTTTAATATGCAGTGAGGTAACGAACAACGAGAATGAATTTAATACTTCATTTATTTTAAAACACACGGACAGCGATAACCTTATACGTTGGCATACATTGACCCTCGTTCGTGTAATTTTTATCTGATGTCGACCATTTTTTGTTTTTCTTTTTTTGTTTTTTTTTTTGTTTTTCTTTTTTATTCGTCGAAGGCTGTAGGTCCCTTCTCTTCCTCCTCCTTTTCTCTCTCACCCGTCCTATCACTCTTTCTGTTTCTCTCTCTACATATCCATTATACTCGTTGACGCAAGGAAATGATTACGGAAGACATTAAATATCCTGCGCAAATACACGTAGCTCGGATTAATAAACAAATGAAAAAAAAAAAATGAACAGCTATGGAATGATACAGCTAGAACATATGATGGGTAATGGGGGCATACGCGTACTCGTACGTAGGGTACGGTGATTCTAAAGCGAACATGTGTATACAGGTGGGCTTATCATTGACGTATGAGCGAACATTGAGATATAACAATAGATCAGCTGTTTCTATTTAATTTATTCTTTGAGGAGGCATTCTTTTAAAGTGGAGCTATACTTTTTCTTTCCTATTACCGAGTATTTTGGAAATCGTTTTTAATTATTGCCAACAAGTGTTCTAAAACGGAATGATAATTTCATGTAAGACGATTGATAGAATATACTTATATCCATCGAACATACGGTATCTAAGAATTTCGTTGGTGCGAAGAAAAAAAGATCGATAGTAGGCATAAAGAAGAAGAAAGAACTCTTTGTCTTCGTTATTCTTTTATTCACAAAGAGGTTTCGTGCCAAAGTTGAGAAGCGAGTATACAACTACTCTTTTTTGATCAACGTAAATCACTAAACTTCATTCTTAAGTATTATAAAAAGATGCGTTATTGTACCGTTACCATAGAAAGAACGAGCGAGAAAGTTATTTTCTGCTCTATATGTCGTAGCGAATGTGGAAAATGCGAGGAATGTGAATGGTAAATAGATGGGATAGACACGGATAGATACGGGGAAACATTTATAAAGGAGAAGACGAAGATGAAAGATGAGGGCAGCGTGCCAACCGTGCTGCTATGAAATTCACTTGAGATCGTTGTTTCTATCGTGTTAATTATAGGAATAAATTGAAATTAATATCTTTTTCTTATGATATTTTCTTTCCTTTCTTTCTCTCATTTATTCACTAATTCATTCACTCTCTTTCTCTCTCTCTCTTCCTCTCTTTTTTTTTCTATCTCTTTGCCTTCCTGTAGTATATTAAAAAAGTTTACGAGATCACGTGACTACCATCTGCTAGACAATTAACGTGAAAGAAAAGAGAAAATTTGACTTGACAGCCTTTCAAGGTGATCGTGAGATCCTTCGCTCAAAGAGATTACACGCTTTATGATCGATCAAAATTTTATTCGTTATTAGTTTCAAAGTGTTTTAAATGAAAACTAAAGAAGAAGGTAAAGTGATAAAAGGGAAGGGATCGAAAAGATACATAGCGCCGACAAGAAAACGTCGTAGCGTAACTGTCCTCTCTATTTCTCTATTTCTCTCTCTCTCTCTTTTTCTCTCTATCTCTCTCGTTCTCTCTCCAGACGATGTTTAGAAGGACTTCGTTTGGGAAACCCTTGACTGTGAGGGTTCCTCCATCGCATTGACCGAAGTAACTTTGGATTCGAACTTTGCTTCCTCGATGTCCTTTTCCTCTTCCCTTTCTTCTCTCTCTCTCTCTCTCTCTCTCTCTCTCTCTCTCTCTGTCTCTCTCTCTCCGTCTCTTTCTCTCTCTCTTTCCCTCCTCTTTTCACTTTCTTTTCGGTTCTCGCTCGTTCGCTCGTTGCGCGCCAACTTATCACAAACGGCAGCCTGCCGCCAAAGGGCGAAGATTAAATTGGCTCTCGAGCATCAGGAAAAAGTTTTACGAACGCGAAGTCCGTGTCCACAAAAGGAAAAGCGAGCAGCCGTTATCGCTCGAAAGATCAGAACGAGAGAGAAAAAAAAAGAGAGAGAGTGAGAGAGAGTCATATGCTTGTCGAACTATTTCTTTTTAGACATTCTTCACGAGGAAATAAAATTTATGGTCAGTACGTATATATTCTTTAATATCAGAGAGATAAAAAGAAAACATTGTCTTAATCGATCTCCTAATAAAAACTTACTTATACATGTATATACACATATTGAACGTGATTTACTTCGAACGTATCGAAGATGAATTTTTTTTCTTTTCTTGTTCATCTTGATATGTAAGTCCAGTTAAAACAGACTACCAAAAGGTAATTCAAATATGGCTTCTGGCACAGAACTCACTTTGGCCAATCGTCCCACGCACTAGAGAGGATGGGACACAGAAGGATGGCGTAAAGCAAGACCGAATAGGATGAATAATATCGGCGGCTGTTTGCGTTTCATCGCTCTCGTACACATTACTAACGCTCGTCTGAACGCTGGTCTTTCCAAAGAGATGGTAAAGGGGAGAGAGACGAAAAGGGGAGAGCACAATGAGCACTCAAGTAATAACGAAATTGATGCAGACCTGGTCGCCTCGCTTCTGTAAATACGCCGTAATGTGCACATTCGGGTTGTACCAATTAATTTGTCCTGTATGCGCCGTCCCAGCTCTTTCACAATGCCATTCTATTTTCTCTCTCTCCTTCCCTCTCTCTTTGTTTGTCTATCTTATGTCCCTTTCTTTCTCCAAGCTTCTCTTTTTCTCTCGTTTCGATATCTAAGTCGACTAATATTCGCAATTAACGCATGAAATACGATGCGTAACGCGACGAACGAAATTTCACGTTGCAAGTACACGATGTACGAGCGATTTTATGTGAAATATTAAATGATATTTATTAAAGATGTTTACAATTTTGAAAAGATCTGTAAAACGTCACACATAAATATCTATTTATCTTTTTTCTGGTATAAATCATTAAAGAAATAAAGCATAATCGATTAAAGAATATTGTAAGAATAATTATTTTCAATCGTCTTGTTTTCGTTTAAAAAGAAAATTAAAAAAGAAACAGACAGATAAGTGGACAAACGAATGTTGGCGCCTTTCCCGAATGTCTTTCCTACTTCATTCTTACCTCTTCGTGCCTTTTCTTGAGTGTACGTTACCCCTTAGGAATTTCGCGCGCACTTCGGTGAAGTGGGAAAAAGAAGGACAAAAAAGATCTTATTTGCAGGGGCTTAACGATAGATCCGTTTCACGAACAGAGCAAAGGGTAATTTACATTCAATTCAGGAAATCCCAGATGTCTATTGGCTAAAAGACCGTTCGAAGAAGAATACCCGACTACCCAGCTCCTACATCGGATATCCGACATCTGCATAATTCTGCTTCCATTCTTTCTACTCTTCTTCTTCATCTTGCTTATACTCTTTCCCTTCTTACTACTCAGTTCTATTCCCTTTCTCTTCTTATTTCTCTTTTTATGCCATTTACGTCTTTCCAGTCCGCGAATTTTCAACACCTTTTTCAGACGTTCGTTACGGAATTACATTCGAGACAGGCATACGTAGATTTAGCGGGTATCGTGTCGAGTACGTAGCTAAGCTGGTTTCACGAATCTCAGTGATAAATCGTATCTAACGATAAACGAAATAGCTAGCTCGCTCGCTACTACTTTTCTCGTTTATGCGGCTGACGTACGGAATGCTTGAAAATCAAGTATCATTATTAATGCCAACTCTCGTATATACCAGTGGTCGTTATTCTCGATAGTTTAATACGTTTCCATTAATGAAAATACGCTTGCCAGCATAACGTTTGAACATACATATTTCGAGTACACACACATATATATATATATATATAAACGTGTATACAGATATTAATAAATAAATAAATAAATAAATATATATATATATATATATACACATATTTATATATTTCGAAAATATACAGATACGTGATATGACGCGAGACCGACAATGACGCGAGACCGACGCTCTTACTTCCGTAATAAAACGAGATTTATTTTCGTAGTTAATTCTCAAGCATCCAGATGGAATAGAAGGAGGTGCCTCGAATTATAAGCGGTCGAGCAGCTTGAAAATGGCCTCGGGGGTGGTAAACTTTAAAATTTATGCCTTCTGCCGGCACAAAGAGCCTCGAAGTTAAATTAAGTCCGACTATCTTGTTGTGCGCGAGATAAACAACGAAGGCGCAAGGAAATGTCCAGAATTAAACGCGAAAAACTTCCGTGGGGGTAGGCGTCGTCGTGCTCGAGGACGAGAAATAAAATTCGGCGAGAGAAAGTAACGAGAGATGTTGAAATCTTTTAAACACGCCTGGCCGAATCTTATTAGGATAATAATTCCGTTCCAAAGACCTAGAAATTTTCAGTTCGAAAGGAATCAACATTCCTTCGAATAACTTCTTTAATCTTTTTCTGGTCACAAACTTTTTAGAACAATAAAGAAATTAAACTTTAATAGCCAAAAATAAGATCAATCTTCCTAAATGATCTTCGTAATTTTTGTGAATCCGAAAAATAATCTGATAATCCGTTCATCTATTCCAGTCATCTATTTTTTTTTCTACCATTTACAACTTATAAGAGAGATAGAAAATAGAGTTACTGAAAAAATACGTTATGATAGAAGATAAAAATTGTCTTTTTCAAAAGATCGTCCAATAATCCCTTCTCTCCTTTCAACTTAGATTCTCTCGGGCTTCCGTTTCTCTTCCTCCTTTCTCCCATTTCTATCCTTCTTCTTCTACCCTCTAGCGAAGACAAAAGCACAGTACGGGACATTCTAATTAGTGGAGCGTCTATTATGCTTCGGAAGACAGCATAATAGGTGCCGCGGTGTAAAACTCCGGTGCGCATAGCCATTTCCCCTTATTCACCCATCACCCCTCTCTTCCACATTTTACACTCGACCCTCCACGCGTCTCCTCCTTCATGATATAAATCTTGGCCACCACTTCTTATGTCTTCGCCATCCATTCGTCCACCTCCTCGTTATCTGTATATCTACCATTTGACTCGCGCTTTCGTCCCACTTTCTTAATTGTTCCTTTATTAAAATACACTAATTAATATCAATTACGGTCGATCAATTACGGTTTATCGTTATAATGGAAAAGTGTCTTTAGATCGGTGTTACCGTTCTCCTTTTATTTTTATAAAAGGATCGATTATCGAGCAAATTTATAAAGAAAACTCATTTGAATATTGAAGAAGAGAAAAAAGGAAAAAAAGAAAAGAAAAAAAAACAAGAATGAAGAAAAAGAAAAAACGATCGAAAGTACGATCGAAAAGTACATATGTATCACGTTTGATACATCGAGCATTTGATACTTCGAACGCAATTAAGAGGTAGATCGACGAGAGCCCGAGCGGAGTTCGATAGTGAGATTATAGAAGATTGGTAGGAGATCCGAGGGAACATCGGTTTGCAGATTCGTCGAGTTTGCGGCAGCATATAACGTGCGCGTATAACGCGACGTACCAACGTAGCGCGACGCAACTCGCTTTACACTGGCCACGCGTTCGCCATGTGGTACGCAGGAAGCTCTGAAACCTATGCAAACCCGTTCGAAACTATGTAAAGTAATGCTAATCCGCCGATAAAACCCTTCGGTCGCCGAGAGAGGAGAAAGAGAGAGACGGAGATAACGAAACACACATACACGTACAATCGAGCATTTCTATCTTCTCCTTTCTCTCTCTCTCTCTCTCTCTCTCTCTCTCTCTCTCTCTCTCTCGCCGAAGAGAATTACGCGTTTGTGTGTGCGTACGAATGTATCGGGGAACGTACCGCAATGCAGCGGTGTGGCCCTTGCCTCGCCCCTCGCGTATTTTCCAGTAATCCTCGGACCCCTGGACTGTAACTCTATTAGACTTCTGTGAAAGGTTTACTTCCAGGTTGGCTCAGATCACTGCTCTCTCACTTATTCGTTGGCAGGGCAAATTACTATCTACCTGGCTGCCTACTAGCAACCACCTACCGAGAGCATTGCCAATCCTGCGACAACGAGAGCTCGACCTAATTACTTTAAATTGTACCGACCTTATCCTTTCTCTCTCTCTCTCTCTCTCTTTCTCT